TCAGCCTTAGCAAAAAGAAAGAAAGAAAGAAAGGAAGGAAGAAAAAAAGAAATAAAAAAGAAAGAAAGAAAAAAAAGGAAAAGAAAAAGGAAAAAAAAGGTTGAGCTGTTTTAAAATGCAGGCTTTCTGGGCCATCCTGCCAGGGAAAACTCTGACTCTTTCAAGCAGGCGGTCCTGACTATGGAGCTATGGACACAATGTTGCAGCCTGCTTCCTAGCAAGGACCTTGAAATGTCATAGGAGCTTTTCAGTGTTGTTTACACACTGTTGCAGCTTGCTTCCTCGCAAGGACCTTAAAACGCCATAGAGTTGTGACAAAAAACTTCTCCATATTCCTTAGCAAATTAAAGACCCATGTTGTCAGAAAAAGAGAGATATACAGTAAAGAGAGATTCAAAGAGGAAAAAAACCTCTAAATGGTTTACAATGTGTTAAAATATATACAGGCTAAAGGTTAAAGTTCTCAGAGTTAAAAACAAAAAGAAAGAGAGTAGCTTGGGAGGCAGAGACAGACGGATCTCTATGAATTCAAGGGTAGCCTGGTTTAAAGAGGGAGTTCCAGGACAAAGATACACAGAGAATCTTCTCAAAAAGCCAAAAGTTAAAAGGACCCGCTCATGTTATAGATTTTGTTCCCCAGCAATGAAAAAAATCAGACACGGCAGACAATGACCATAATCCTAGCACTTGGAAAACAGAGGCAGGAGGACTGGAAGTTCAAAGTCACTCTTGGCTATCTGCCACGTCTCAAAAAATTACATAGAATATATTTACACAAAAATGCATATATAATATAAATTTAATATCTAGCATTTTATTACACATTTTTAACATTATAAATTTATTTTATTATATATAATATACGATATATTTATGGAATCTATAATGCAACATGCATATTATATAAAATTAATACACTATAAGTTATATTTATGTTAATGTTGCATATAAAAATGTATATGCTATATTTCTAGTATATCATAGATATTTATAATATATTTTAATATACACATGTAAATACATAAAGATTTTTACACACACACACATACACACAGACAGATAGACACACATAGACAAATGTAACAGCCTCAAACCTTAGCACAACTGGCTCAATGATGGAAGAACCATTCAGGCCTTGAAACCCAGCACACCGGCAGCAGCACCTGCCAGAACAAGAACAAGGACCCAATCCATCAAAGTCCATAGTTCTGGGAAAGTCTCTAAGTGTACTATCCTGGCTTTGGGCTTCTGCAGTTCTGCTTCTGGCTAACTGTTCTTGTTAACTGAGGTGTGTACACCCCAGATGTGGTCATCATGTTTCAAAGCTCGCCTTGAGAAAGGCTCACGACTGCACTTGTGTTCCAGATGCCCAGTGTAGTCACCAGCCACCTAATAGAGACTTCTAGTGATTTGAACCCAAGTCTGAATAGTTATCTCTGGTGTATACCTCACAACACACACACACACACACACACACACACACACACACACAGAGAGACTTGCACACACACACAACATGCACAGACACACACAGAGACACACTCACACACATACACAGACACGCACACACACACAGAAACACACACGCACAGACACACACATACACAGACATGCACATATGCACATGCACAGACATGCACACACACATACACACATGCACACACAGAGACATGTATACATACAGCCATGCACACACACATACGCACATGCACACACACAGACATGCACACACACACTTCCAAACATTGTTGCAGTATTGTCTGCAGCACAGACTGAATTCTTACGGGATCGCTGAACTGAAAATCATGACACAGATCTTCTACTGTTCTTTCTTACTGACAGTATTTTGCCACGACAGAAAAAGCTACTGTGTGCACAGGTTGACTGTATAGCTGTAATTTTCATAATCTGTAGTGGATTTTCTAAACTTTTTCTTCATTTTTGCTTCTTTCCACCTAGATGCCAGTAACTTGTAAGAAGCATATGCAGCCCGAGTCTTTCTGTCGTCAGCAGACTTCAGCTGTGCCCGTTTGACCAGCCGGAGTCATGCTAGGTCTCACGTGTTCCCGTGTGTTTATATCAGTGAGAGGAAAAGAAGAAGCGAAGCAAAGGAGGCTGTCAGTGACCACGGTAAAGAAAATGCTGGGCAGAGGGTAACAGGCCCTGGTGCTTCGTAGGACTCCATGATGGAAGTGCCATTCAGGCTGTAAATCAGCATGGGGACAGACAGTGCATCTGCCAAAACGAAAACAAAGACCTTATCCATCACAGGCCATAGATCAGGGGAAGTCCCTAAATGTACTAACTTTGCCTTTTGGCTAACTGTTCTTGTTGATGGAACATGGTTTCTGTACTTAAAAAGCCCACCCTAAGAAAGCTCCAGTTCTACAGTGGGGTCCTGTACACCTGCTGTAGTCACTGACTGCCTAATAAGAGCTTTCCATTGGCTTAAAGCCATGTTTGAGACGTCTTCTCTGGTGAAACCCCACAACAAGAGCAGATAATTGGATTCCCCATTTTGAATCTGCACATTGCAGCAAGAGGAACTTCTGATATGTTTCAAGTTTCAGTAGGAAACTAACGTGTATGTGAAGGAGCTTACTTAAAACCACTCATTTCTGCAGAATGGATTCCTGTAATTCCAGCTCTCAAGACACTGAGGCAGTAAGATTTTGCCTTTAATGGCAGCACTCAGGAGCAGTATGAGTTCAAGGCCAGCCTGGTCTACAGAGTGAGTTCCAGAACAGGCTCCAAAGCTACACAGAGAAACCCTGTCTCAATAAACAAATAAAACCAACCAACCAACCAAACAAAAAAGATTTATTTGAAAAGGAAGAGTCCAGGAGAGCGGCTGCCTCTGCCAGGGTGGTGAAGGACAGCCAGCAACTGAATAGGCAGAGGGTCTTATATTGGCTTCTTAGGGGCGAAGTTTTTCCAGAAGGATTTTTCCACTTAGGGATTGGTTAGTTTTCCTGCTCAGGGATTGGTTGGTTTCGTTGGTCAGGGGTAGAGTTGCCTCTGGTTTCAGGGCCAAACTGTGTTTCTTTCACTGGCTCTTTTTAAGCTTTTTGGCTCTAGTTTTGGGGCCAGGGTGTGTTTCCTCCACTGGCTCTGGTTTCAGGGCCAGGGTGGGTTTCTTTGGCTGGCCTTTTCCCCCTACAGGACTTCGGTCCCTCTTAAACTGTAAGCTCCAAATAAACATTTCCTTCTATAAATTGCCTTTTGTGCTTTGCCACAGCAATAGGACAGTAACTAAGATGCCATCTTTCTGTTTCATGTTTTCCTTGTTAATTTTATGGTTTCCTCATAAGAGTCTGGAGTGGAATCCTGACACAGGATCTATACAGCCCAGACTGACCTCCAACTCACAATCCTCTACCTCCATCTCTGGGGCGCTGTAAACTTAGGTGTGTGCCAGCAAATCTGGAACAAGAGGTTTTCACTTTTGATTACTTCTTTCCACTTGTTTTTTTTTTTTTCACTTGTTTTTTTTTAAAACAATTATTCTTCGTTTCCTAATTTCTTAAAGGGAATACTTAGATTATTGATTAGAACTTTTCCTTGATTTCCAAGAGAAGCCTATAATAGTAAGAAAGATGCTAAGCACTCCTCCGGGTACATCCACAAAGTTTGATGATTACATTTAATATTAATTAAATATATTGGTTGTTCAATCAAACATTTTATATGTTCACGGTTAAACTTAATTGAAATATTTTCTCATGACTGTCCCCGAGATTCACAGTTTGTTTGAAGTGTATATTTTGATTCCCAATTATTAGGAATTTCAAAGTATCTTTCTCTTACCGATTTCTCTTGATTTCAAATTTAATTTCTCGGTGGGTAGAGAAAATAATTTGCGTGATTCCAATTATGTAAGTTACTTTAAATTTATTGATGTTTCTTATCTGGCAAGAGGCCATTTTGGGGTCTGAAGAGATGGTTAAGAATATGAGTTCAGGTCACAGCACTACTGGGAGTTGTAGCAATGGTTCACCAGTTGGGTGCTCTTACTTAGGAGGCTGAGTTGGGTTCTCAGAACCTACATCAGCTGATTCACAGCCCCCTGTAATCCCTGCTCCAGGGATCTGATTCCCTCTTGTGGCATCTGCAGGCACCCCCCCCCCCCCGCCCACATATTCATGCAATTAAAATTAAAATCTTATATAAAAAAGAAAATTAAACATAAAACCATACGTATATATGATCACACACACACACTATATATATATATATATATATATATATATATATATATATATATATATATATATTTCTCTCTCTCGCACGCGCGCGCGAGAAAGTGAATGAGATCAGGCAAACGCTGATCTAAGGCTTCATGAAGCGGTCAGGCGAACTGTAAGCGTAAAGATCGTCCAGGATGCGGGTGTACAAAGAGAAATATCCATTAATGGTACATGCTTTATGGTTCTCTGACTTTAAAAATTAAAAAAAAAAAAAGGAAATGCGATCCTAGAATTGAGGGGCTTTTAGAATTGAGGAAGGGCAGACTGTAACGTTCTGCTCACTCTATTTTGAATGTGCTCAAATGTCTCTCGCCCTGAGTCTGGCAGTAGCAATTTACAGGATAACTTTTTTTTAACCTAGAACGACTTCCAACCACTCTTTTCCGGCTCCCAGAGAGACAGAAGCTGCTCAGCTAGGTCCGCCGTCTCTGGTGCGTCATCTCTTCTGTGATTGGTCGCTGCTTCTCCGGGACACGCCCGACAATCCTGATTGGGCGTCAATGCCCTTTTGTTAGGGCAAAGGTGGACCCCGGTGCTCGGCCGTGGGCCTGCCGGCAGCCAACGCGCAGGCGTACAATCTCGCGTTCGGATTGGTGGAAGCCCGCCTCCTTGGTCGGCGCACGCTCCGTGGGCCGGAAGGGCGGAGCTGCCGCTGTCAGTTGGTCGGAGAGCCGCGGCCTGAGGCGTTCTGCCCATCCCGCCTCCTTCCCGGCGCATCAGACGCAAGGTGAGGCGGCCCGGGGCGGCGAGGGCCGGGGCCGGGGAAAGCGCTCGGTCCAGCCGGGGCCCTGCAGTTGGGGTGGGCCGGGGCGGCGGCCTGGGCGCGGGATCGCGAGGCCTGACGCCCCGCCGAGCCCTGCGCAGCCTCCTTCCCGGCCGGCCGCACGCAGCGGGCTGTGTGGGAAGAGGCTGGCGGTGCCCGGTCGGAACACTGTGGGGGTGCGATGGGCCCAGGAGGTGACGCGCTGCAGCCCCTGATAACCTTCCAGCTCGCGGCAATCCTCCTGCCTCAGCCACCCGAAGCTAGGGTTGCGTTGTAGGCGTGGTGACCCGTGCCTGCCTGGGGTGGGACCTCTTTGCTTGTGCCTAGGTTTGTCTCTTTGTCATCTTTTCTCAAGCATTCTGTGGAACAAATATTGGGGAGTAGGTTTGGAAAGGAGAGAACTTGTTCCGGAAAAGCCTAGATTTCTGTTGTACAGTCCACCTTGACGGTGGACCAGCCGTAAAGGCAGATGTCCCCAGACCGTTATCTGTTTCTGAGAATCAAAGCTGTGCGTAGGTGTACCGGTGCCTGTTTGAAAGTTTGAAATCCTTATTGACCATGCAGTTCCTCGATTTCTGTAGAATTTGAGACCCCAAAAATATCAAAGCAGAACATGGACAGATAGAAACAAATCACACTCGAGTGGATGGAGCTTGAAGCAAATGAATTTTTTTTTTTATTTTCAAGACAGGGTTTCTCCGTAGCTTTTGGTTCCTCTCCTGGAACTAGCCTTTCTAGACCAGGCGGGCCTCGAACTCACAGAGATCCGCCTGCCTCTGCCTCCCGAGTGCTGGGATTAAAGGCGTGCGCCACCTCCGCCCGGCTGAAGCAAATGAAATTTATCTTAGTTGTTTAGTTTGTGGAAATGCCAAAGAAGCCGAGTTTTTAAAAATGTTTGATAGACACAGATTAGGACCTTGATTATGTCTTGGCTGTGAAACAATAGGCAAGGCCCCTGGCCTGTATAAGGTTTAGTACTCCCATCTGTGAACTGCAGTTTCCTTTGTTTTGATAAAACTATATATGTGAAGTGTTTCGTGCATTGATTTAGTGCCTTGGGCACTTAATTTTTTTTTGGTTTTTCAAGACAGGGTTTCTCTGTGGTTTTGGAGCCTGTCCTGGAACTAGCTCTTGTAGGCCAGGCTGGTCTCGAACTCACAGAGGTCCGCCTGCCTCTGCCTCCCGAGTGCTGGGATTAAAGGCGTGCGCCACCACCGCCCGGCTGGGCACTTAATTTTTAAGAATACTTGTTATGGGCTGGAGAGATGGTTCAGCGGTTAAGAGCACTGACTGCTCTTCCAAAGGTCCCGAGTTCAATTCCCAGCAACCATCTGTAATGAGACTTGGCGCCCTCTTCTGGCGTACAGCCATACATGGAGGCAAAATGTTGTATACATAATAAATAAATTAAAAAAAAAAAGAATACCTGTTTACTGGTAAGTGGTTGCAATGTCAACTTCACATCTGAGATGTGCAGCTGAGCTGAGGTGGAATGGCGGGGAAAAACAGACTGGCCATGACGCAGTGGCTCTGGGTGACCACTGAGATGTGGATCAGGCCACTCTCAGCTTTGGCCCTGGGTTCTACTACGACACTTTGGCCACTTGGTTTTTCTTCTGTGCTCCAAACAAGAATCTGGAGATGAGAGGGTAGTGGTTAGCATCTGTTGCATGCTCATGAAGTACACAAACACATTTGAGCTCAGCAAATTCTCAGAACAGACCTACAAGATACATGGTTATTAGCTCCATTTTATGCATGAGGATGCTGTGGCTGAGATTTTAATACTTGGGTAAAATTTCAGAGCCTGTAATACAGAGTGAGGGTTTAAGTATTGGTCATCCAAATCTGTGTTTTTCAATTGCTGTGCTAAACATCTTGAGAAGAGGTCTTAGGAGTACGGTGTGAGCATGTAGCAGTGTTTAAGTTAATCCTCGTTACTGCTTTCTGTGTCTCTCAAGTCTTACTCTCTACTCTTTCCCCTTCCTGCATCTAAAGTATAGAAGTTACAGATTCTCATCCACTAACAGGCTAGGTGCACATAGGCACTGAGAATTCCTGTGAGTTTCAAAGAAAAGTTTTAAAGCTCTGATGTAGATAATCTTAGAGAATCATGTTTTCAAAGTCAGGGTCACTGGTAAGTCAAAGATATCCATGTAACTCTCTGTGTGTGTGTGTGTGTGTGTGTGTGTACACACATGTGCTGTGCTCGCGACCCCACACATCACAGACATGGCAGTGCATGTCACCCCAGTGCTAGGGAGGTAGGTAGAGGGTAGGCCTTTTAGAGCTTGCTCTAAAATCACTGTAGTGGAATTGGTGAGTTCCAGGTTCATTCAAAATATATCTTAAAAAATAAGGTGGAGAGGGAGCAAGAGAGACACCCAGAGTGGACTGTGGCCTCCACATGTGCACAGAGACATGCACACAGACAGACATAAACACACGAAACAGCTTTCTGTCGATTGAAAGTTTGAACATTGTTTAAATGGAGAGGAATACTTTTTAAAAAAAATTACCATGCAGATTAGTTTCCTTATATTGTCATACATTTGATATTTTGAATTCTTAAAGTGTGATCCTCAAATACTTTAGTAGCTTGAATAACTTTGAAAACAGAATTTTGAAAAAAATCTTGTAACTTACTTTCTCTGGAGTGCAGAGGATCTCTGTGAACCGAGGTGGGAAACGCGAGAAAGCAGTGTTCAGGCTGCTTGGGAGCATGCTGAGTTTTACAGCCTTCAGTGCTGTGTGAAGATGCTCAATAGCTTTCATGCTGAGAGCTGCCCGAGAGTCCACTTTTGTATTTGTACACTGGGCATTCTGTCTCTGAAAGATTTTCCTCCTCTTTGTAATTGTCCTTAGTAAAAAGATTTACAGTGTTTCTGAGTTTTTAAAGTATTGTTCTGTGTATGTCCTTTGCATTTCAAAGTGCGTGTAAGTAAGGCATGGGGAGGGTTCCTCTGTCACATCCTTTAACTGCCTTGTCTCTGGAAGGACAAGTTTATATTTTACTCTTGTGTCTGCTTCTTTCTCTTGCTGCAGACCATTCATCAAACAGAGTGCATTCAAGAGCTGCAAGTTTGTTACCCAAGATGATGAATGCTGACATGGATGGTAAGGTCTTTGTTCTTCTTTGTGTGTGTGCTTCTGGCTTTCTGTATGCTTTTGCTTTATTAAACAGTGGAAAGGGCAGAGAAACAATCTTTATGAGGTTTAGGTTAGCTGGGCAGTGATGGCACATGCTTTTAGTCCCAGCACTTAGGAGACAGAGACAGGTGGATCTCCAAGTTTGAGGCCAGGCTGGTCTACAGAGAGTTCCAGGACAGCCAGGGCTATATAGAGAAGATTTAAGTGTAGCTTCTTTCCCATTTACTTCAGAAAGCATCCAAGGTGGCTTCCGTTCTGTAACTGTATGGCAAGTTCAGCTTAGTGCCCATCTACCCTGAAGTGTACACGGTAATTAAGACAATGCTTATAAAACGTTCTGCAGAATTTTAAGTGTTGCATGCCAAAACAGTAATAAATAAATTTATTTATTAATAATAAATTTAACACTTTTGATTACAGCAGTCGATGCTGAAAATCAGGTGGAATTGGAAGAAAAGACTCGACTTATTAATCAGGTGTTGGAACTCCAACACACACTTGAAGGTTAGATTGCATTTAGTAGTTTTTCTGAATGACATTCAGTTAACTTCAGAGTCCATGTTAATAGTTGGTGGGGTTTTATTTGTTTGCTTTGTTTTTGTTTTTTTGTTATTTTGTAAAAATAAAAAAATGTTATTTGTACATGTGGGCAGATGTGTGTGCAGGGCACCCTTATGGAAGTCAGAGGCTGACGTGTGGGAGGGAACATTTTTTCCATCATGTGGATCTTATGGAAGTCAGAGGCTGACGTGTGGGAACATTCCTCCCATCATGTGGATCTTGGAACTGAACTCAGGTCACCAGGTTTGGGTTGCAGGTGTCTTTACCCAGTGAGCCGTGTTGCAGGCCCCAGTCGTTTTCTCTTTCTTGCTGTTGTCTACAGCCTTGCCTGGTGGTCTAAAGGACACATTTGCCTGAGTAAGACCAGTCACTGCTCTCATACATCCTCCTTAAGGTGTTAGCAAGATGCTGGCTTACCGCGAGAGCTCTTTTTAATCTGGCAGTGTGTTCCTGAGTCTGCTTCAGGAAGGCCTCATTAAGATGAAAAGAAACATTACTTCTAGAGATTCAAATTGATGGGAGATTTGTTTTCATTTCCTAGTTTCCTTCCATAAAATTACTAGTGCCACCAACATGTCTTCTGATGGTCAATGTCATTAGGTATTGTTAAGTTTGGGGCACAAAGTGAGCAATAGCTTCTCATTGACAGTGACAGCTCTACCCAGATTGTCTGCTCGTCCTCTGCTTTACAGGCCTCCTTTAGTTGCCTTTCTGTGTGGCTCATCTCCTCAGTTCCTCAGGCCTCTGCTCAGATTACCCTCAGAGAATAGTTAACTCTAAAAAAGACTTCTTGCAGCCGGGCGATGGTGGTGCACGCCTTTTTGGGAGGCAGAGCAGGTGGATCTCTGGGAGTTCAAGGCCAGCCTGGTCTACAAGAGCTAGTTCCAGGACAGGTTTCAAAGCTACAGAGAAACCCTGTCTCTCAAAACCAAAATAAATAAATAAATAAATACCTTTTAATCTGCTTTTATGACCCTTAGCCATTTTGCTTTTTCTCCAGAAAAAAGTGTGACATACTGTATATTGACATAGTCGGTGTTTCATCCTGACACCTGGGTGCCCGTGTTACTGAATGCACGTGTGCTCACATGTAACCATGTTCACTGCTGCTTCTGTTGCCGCTGCGCATTTGTTAGATGTGTGGATGGAGATGACTTTGCACCCGCTCTCCAGGACCTGCATCTGTTGGATTTTTAACTGATGTTTAACTCCTGCTTGGGTCTCACTGAATCTCTGTGAAACCCTGCTGTGTTAAGCTGCAGATTGTAAATATTTCCAGTAAAGACATTATAGTTTCATGTGGCAGGACATGGACCTTTAAAAACATAGTGTTGTCTCACCACTGTAAGTGTTAACATAAATACTGTCTACAGATTGAATCCCATGGGAAGCTCTGTCAACAGGCACCATCTTCTGACTTATACTCAGTAAATTCTTTTTGCTTAAGTCTTTAACCCCATTAATCTGAATTGAAAAGCAGAAAATTTATGAATTGTGATACTTATTTATTGGTAGTGCTTGGGGTCAAGTCCAGGGTCTCACACATGTAGGCACTGGGAACACCCTTAGCCTGGTCTCAATTTTTTAAGGATGAATCTTGCATTTCATAACGTGGAGTAATTGACATGATTTTATTGATAATTATATTTTTGTTTTTTTTTTTAATATAGATCTTTCTGCAAGAGTAGATGCAGTTAAGGAAGAAAATCTGAAGCTAAAATCAGAAAATCAAGTTCTTGGACAATATATAGAAAATCTCATGTCTGCTTCTAGTGTTTTCCAAACAACTGATACAAAAAGCAAAAGGAAGTAAAGGGTTCACCTCCCTCTTGTCATGGAGTTGCTGCTTTTTTTTTTCTCTAAAGCTTGGATATGATCCAGAAGTTACAGTATCCTCCTTTGCTTCCTTGAGTATTTATAAAGAGAATGTCAGATCTAGGTAATATTAACTGCTTAACAGGAACCATCCCTAAGTTAACATTATATGTATTACGTTAGTCTATGACAATGTAGAGACTTTATAATTAGAATTACAGATATTTATGAAACTTGAAGATGAATGTTTTGCCAATTTGCTTATATATATATAGGTTTAGCACTGTCTTTTATCATATGCCTAACTCGTAAAATACACAAGAGAATAACCATGTTGTGACAAAGTGACCAAAACCATGTACTGAATGCACAGCTCTGTACCTTGTCCACCGTCGTGTGCCTCTCCTCCATCTGCCTCTTCCTGCCCATCTCCCTGACAGTAACCTGAGTAGTTGTCACCTACCAGAGCAACCTGAACTGTAATTGTTGATTCTTAACCAAAATAAGACACTTTCTTAGCTAAAGCTTGCTATTTGTGATATTTAGTAATAAGATAGGATTGCTGGTTTCTCTTTAATCAACTGAAAATAGATTGAAGCTATACAAAATGAAGATTTTCTTTGAAATGTAAATTGTCACATTGAGAAACTCAACACTCTCTTTTGCACAAATAGCCCATTCAGTGTTGAAAAGATCAGAGTGCTGGTCACATGTGTGTGAAAAATAGAAAATCTTGAGGAAAGATAGAAAGAGGGGGGAAACTGGATAAACAGAAGTAACCAGCTCCAAATCCTTTCCCTCCAGATGTGTTACCTCTGGCCCACAGTTGCACTTTTGGGACAGTATGAGAGCAGACTAAGTCTGGCTGACATAAGCGGGTTAAGTAAGCCACATGTCAGAGAGAGACCAGTTAAGAATTTGGTCTCAAGATTTGTTTGTACCCAGGAGATGAACTTTTGCGAAATGAATTGAGAATATATTAGTATCAGAATCATGAATATAAGGGAGTTTTGTATATGTGATACTTGTTAACCTTAGTATTTTATCTCAGTTGTTTTCCCAGAATTTTTGTAAACTCAGCTACGTTGTTTGCATAATTTTAGTCATTTCTTTTAATAATTTTTAAAAATTTAGTTTGTAGCTTTCATTTGATAAAGGAGTTGATATTGAAAGTAATATTGAAATGTTACAATAGGGAAGATCCACTAACGCAACTGATGGCTCTTAGATTGGGCTGTGCTGACTCGTGGAATTATCTAATGTATTAGTGGTGATAGCTATATGGACATGTAATCCTCACATTGCAGATATTTTGCAACCCTTTTGTGACTGCATTACAAATATTTAAAATTGTGTTCAGGTTATGCTTTGCTGTTTAATAAAAAGCTGTTTCAGAGGTTGTGTGTGTGTTTTGATATAGTTGCTAAGTAAATGTGCAGTGGTACCCTGGGTTTGCAGGGCCACAGTGTAATAATGTATCTCATGTAAGCATCCAAGACTGCTACAGCAGTAACCTTTTATTAAGTGTTTCAGGAGCTTACCTAGCTAGCTGAAGTTCTAGAGAAGGGGCTGTGTTTGCTACCCTCTATTGTTTCCAGCCTAGCTGGCTCTACTGAACAGATTGTTCTGCATCTCCAGTTACACTATTCCATTCACAGGAAAGAGAATGAGAGAATGGGAGTGTGCAAAGTCTAAGTGTTATGGGCCCTGCCTTGAAATGGCACAGTCTCTATACATCCAAAGCCTAGGGTGGCTGATAAATGATTTCTTCCCTGGGAAGCCATGTGTGGTTACAGCTTATCTCTGTGAAAGGAGGTGAAGGACCTGTTGTAGTAATGAGGGAGCAGGCCTGCTTTTTGTCCCACCTGGCTTCCGCACGGCTAGCTTTACACCTGAAATAACAACACACAAATTGTATTCTTTTAAATACTGCTTGGCCCGTTAGTTCTAGCCTCTTATTGGCTAACTCTCACATCTTGATTAACCCATTTCTAATAATCTGTGTTGGTGGTTTACCGGGAAAGATTCAGCATGTCTGACCTGGCAGCTGGCTCCATGGCATCTGCCTCACTTCCCTTCTTCCCAGCATTCTGTTCTGTTTACTCCACCCACCTAATTTTCTGCCCTATCAAAAGGTCAAGACAATCTCTTTATTAACCAATGAAAGTAACACAGACAGATAACCCTCCTACATCAACCTGTCACTAGCAGTCCAGCTGCAGCTTGATCTTTTGCTACAGAGTATCTGGAACTACTTTCCCTCACAGAGAATGCATTCCAGCACCCCTCATCTAGTTAAATGATAAGCTCAAAATCCAAGAGCTCTCTTGAGATCCCTCAGTTTATCTGCTCTCATTGTTCCCTGGTTTAGAGTATTATGGGACAGAGTGGTCAAGGAAAAGTTCTCGATATGGAGAGTGGAGTCAAAATAAATCTTCAGATTTGAGGCAATTGTGGAATACCTTGCTATCCACCTGATCGTTTTTCACCATCTTTTGTGCTTCTCATCCCAGAAGTTATTCTGTTCCACCTCATTCCACCCCTCAGGCTGGGAAAGGAGTTAACTTGTTGACTGGGACTTGGTGCCCACTATTTTAAGTCAAGCTCAAGGTTTTTGTTTTTTCTTTTGCTAGTATAACCTCAAACAAGCACGAAACCTTTTTAACTAGTTCACATTCATTTCCTGTTTGATTTTGATTGCACGGAGGAGAAGGACAACCTGCAGGAGTCAGTCCTCTCCTTCCACCATGTGGGTTCTGGGGACCAAGCTCAGGAGGTCAGGTTGTACCCTAACTGATGTGGGATATCCATCTGGATATGTGTTGTTTTTATTAGTATAACCTCAAATGAATAAAGCTGTTTGGGCCAATGGCTCAGCAGAGTAAAGTCAGATGGGAAATCAGAACAGAGAGTAGATGGAGTCAAGGAGACGCCATGTAGCTGCTGAAGGAGAAAGATGCCAGATCCTTACCAGTAGGCCACAACCTCGTGATGATACATAGATTAATAGAAATGGGTTAACTTAAGATGTAAGAGCTAGCTAGGAATATGCCTGAGTCATTGACCAAACAACGTTGTAATTAATACAGTTTCTGTGTGATTATTTGGGTCTGGGGATCCAGGAAATGAACAGTCTCTGTTTACATCTGATGAAAATCATCTTGCTTTGAAGCCATGTGTCTGTGTCCGGCACAGTCAAGCTCTCTTCAGCCTTGATGTGTAAGCCTTTTCCCCTAGGATTTGACTTCCTAATAGAGGAGACCACCTTGGAACCAACTGAAATGCAAGGAAAACAGCTCTCACCAGAGCAGAGCTACAGGCTGGAGGTCGGGTCTCTTTGGTGTAACAAGTACCAGAGAAATGGTTTTTTTAAAAAAATCTTTTAAATTGAAAATTCATTCAATATATTCTGATGACAGTTTCCCATCCCCCGCCTCTCAGGTCTTCCATTTCCCCACCCATCTAACTCCACACCTCTCTCTTTTTGGTTTTCCAAGACAGGGTTTCTCTGTTAGCCTTGACTGTCCTAGAACTTGCTCTGTAGACCTGGTTGGCCTTGAATCACAGCGATCTACCAGCCTCTCGTGAGTGCTGGGATTAAAAGTGTGCATCACCACTGCCTGGCTCTTTCCCTTTCTATAGAAAACATTTTCAAAACAGGCAAATAAAACCAACCACAGTAGTGAAACAGCAAAAAACGATAAGCACGAATAAACATGGAGACTTGAGTGGACATGGTCAGCAAGTCTGTAACACTAGCCTTGGGGGTGGGGGAGGGAGCAGAGGCGGGCAGACCTCTGGAGCTCTCAGACCAGCCAGTTTAGCCAATAGATGGGTTCTAGGTTCAGTGATAGACCTGTTCCACAAATAAGGAGAAGAGTGATAGAGGCAGACACCAAACGTTGACCTGTGGCCTCTCCACATGCATGCACACACTGCCACATGCACACACTTGTACACCACACACAAAACACAGGTGGGAAACCACATAGTGTCTATTTCTGACCCAGACTTTCCTTGGTTCAGTGACCAACAGACCTTAGAGTTCTCATCTAACCTTATCAGTTGTCTACCAAATCCAGCAAGAATTCTGCCAGGTCAGTTCAGAGAGAATCCCTCAGCTGCCACAGGTGAGGTGACCACCTAGGCCTGCCTTCAGCAGTAACTTTTAGCAATAATCCCCTTACGGATGCCTCTGCTTAGTATGTTTCCATACCCCAACCCTCCAGTTCACTAATCTCTGCTTGTTACACTAGTAGCTGAGGGTGTCTTAGCAATCGCAAGTCTTGACACGCAGCACAGCGCTCCTGCACAGTGGTGTTAAAGTAATTTTCTGTACTACTTTTCTATCTCTGTGGTGCTGGAGCAATGCCTGTCAGGAAACAGCAGCAAGCTGCCTGTGAAGGACCAAATGTGTCCTCCTCAAACACACTGAAATCGTGACACACAATGGGATGGAATTGGGCCATGTGACCTTAGAGAGAGATATGATGAAGGCAGAGCATTCGTGTGTGGGGTTATAAAAAGGCCGCAGAGAACCCACTTGCCACTTAAGGGCACAGGAAAAGACCACACTCAGCATTTGGGAGGCATAGGCATGTTGCCTTTCCTTGGCCTCCAGGACTGTGAGGAATGTGTTTTATTGTTGTGCAGAATGTGTTTTGTAACAGCAGCCGGACAGAAGGTGGCACCTCCCACCAGGTCCCAACTGATGTGCTTCCTTCAATCCTGACACTACCATCCCACCCAACATTTGGCTCACATTTCTGCTGCCCACTATTTACAGGGTGCCGCAGACCACAATCCCTTAGTTAGGAACTTACAGAACCAGATGCTTCAGAATTTGGCATTTTTCAGGTTTTATAAACTGTTACAACTTGTATAGGGGCACAATTTGGAGCAGTTTGTGTCTGCATCAGAATCTATGAGAATCAGTGATAACTGGGAGAAAGAATGAGTATATAAAATAGAAGCGCAGAGAAAAGCCCAGCTAGGAGGTCAGGTTGGGCTGCCGAGTGAGATGGTGTTCAGGTGGTGAAGTTGCTTGTGCAGAGATCGGCCTTTACTTTTGGAATTGTTCTTAAAGAAGCAAATTCCTGTGATGTAAAAGTGGCCGACATCAGCTGAGCACTCATCTCCTCTCAGGTTGGATACCTCACCCTTATTTCTGCCAGTTCTTTCCCCTTTAATGACAAATTTACTGTAACAAAGACTTAGGTTGACTCTATGACAGCGTCTCTCTAGGTAGCCCTGGCTGTCCTGGAACTCATTGTGTAGACCAAGGTGGCCTCAAATGCACAGAGACCCACTTGTCTCTGCCTCCCAAGTGCCACCACACCCAGCCCAGAGTCTGTCTTATGACCTAGGAGTTTTGAGGGATACTAGAAACTGAACTCATACACTGTAACCACTGAAAGTGGTTATCCTGTTTTAAGGTTTCCCAAAGATTTATCAAATGTCTGTTATTAAAATTTGAAAGTAACCCTACGTTTCTACAAAACATAAGATATTGTGGCAGGCACATAAAGATGGTTTTCTGGTTCTCCTAGTGTCTCCTAGACTGCCGTTACTATTCTGTGCACTGGGGCCTTAAGAGACAGACTAAATGTTCCCACAGTGGCTGGAGAGAAGGCTTAGTGTTAAGCTCACACCATTCTTGTAAAGTTCCTAGCACTTGCATGGAATCTTGCACCCTCTTGTAGCCACAGCTCCAGGGAGTTCCCAGGTAAATGTTACCCCATGCAGAATACATATAATTAAAAAATAAAAAGTCTTTAAATATGTGTCCAAGTTTATGTTTTCTCCCATCAGCTTGTCTCATTTAAACTGTCAAGAGGAGATGGTTTCTGTGGTGGTTTAGTGTAATGGTTAATGCTCTGGACTCTGAATCCAGTGATCTGAGTTCATATCTTGGTGGAACCTCATCAATTCAGACCACGAAACCCAATATAAACGGGCTGCCTTGCATGCTTCAGCATTGCCGGGGGCGTGTTCACTTCATTTCTTAAATGAGAATGGCCCCCATAAGCAAGCATACATATTGGTCCTCAGATGGTGGAACTGTTTGGGAGGGATTAGGAGGTGTGACCTTATTGGGAGAGGTTGTATCACTGGGAAATAGGCTCTGAGGTGTCAAAAGATTTATGCTGCACTGGCTGGTGTTGGGTGTCAACTGGACACAGGTTAGAGCCAGTTGAGGAGGTGCCTCCATAAGATCCAATTGTAGGGCATTTTCTCAGTTAGTGATCTATGAGGGAGGACCCAGCACACGGTGGGTGGTGCCATCCCTGGGCTGCTGGTCCTGGGTTCTGTAAGAAGGTGGGCTGAGCAAGCCAGGGAAAGCAAGCCAGCAAGCAGCTCCCTTCCATGGCCTCTGCATCAGCTCCTGCATCCAGG